CGGTGTGGTGTGTGAACCAGGAACCGGTGTGGTGTGTGAACCATGAACCGGTGTGGTGTGTGAACCATGAACCGGTGTGGTTTGTTAAGCATGAACCAGTGTGGTGTGTAAACCATGAACTGGTGTGGTGTGTGAACCATGAACCGGTGTGGTGTGTGAACCAGGAACCAATGTGGTGTGTGAACCAGGAACCAGTGTGGTGAACCATGAACCAGTGTGGTGTATGAACCAGGGACCAGTGTGGTACGTGAACCAGGAACCAGTGTGGTGTGTGAACCATGAACCAGTGTGGTGCGTGAACCAGGAACCAATGTGGTGTGTGAACCATTAACCAGTGTGGTGTGTGAACCAGGAACCAGTGTGGTGTGTGAACCAAGAACCAGTGTTGTGTGTGAAGCATGAACCAGTGTGGTGTGTGAACCATGAACCAGTGTGGTGTGTGAACCATGAACCAGTGTTGTGTGTGTACCATGAACCAGTGTGGTGTGTACCATGAACCAGTGTGGTGTGTGAACCAGGAACCAGTGTGGTGTGTGAACCAGGAACCAGTGTGGTGTGTGAACCAGGAACCAGTGTGGTGTGTGAACCAGGAACCAGTGTGGTGTGTGAACCAGGAACCAGTGTGGTGTGTGAACCAGGAACCAGTGTGGTGTGTGAACCAGGAACCAGTGTGATGTGTGAACCAGGAACCAGTGTGATGTGTGAACCAGGAACCAGTGTGGTGTGTGAACCATGAACCAGTGTGGTGTGTGAACCATGAACCAGTGTGGTGTGTTAACCAGGAACCAGTGTGGTTTGTGAACCATGAACCAGTGTGGTGTGTGAACCAGGAACCAGTGGTGTGTGAACCATGAACCAGTCTGGTGTGTTAACCAGGAACCAGTGTGGTGTGTGAAGCATGAACCAGTGTGGTGGGGAGTGACTGAACCATGAACCAGTGTGGTGGGGAGTGACTGAACCATGAACCAGTGTGGTGGGGAGTGACTGAACCATGAACCAGTGTGGTGGGGAGTGACTGAACCATGAACCAGTGCGGTGTGTGAACCATGAACCACTGTGGTGTGTGAACCATGAACCAGTGTGGTGGGGAGTGAGCCATGAACCAGTGTGGTGGGGAGTGACTGAACCATGAACCAATGTGGTGGGGAGTGACTGAAACATGAACCAGTGTAGTGCGGATTGACTGAACCATGAACCAGTGTGTTGTGGAGTGACTGAACCATGAACCAGTGTGGTGGGGAGAGGGAGCCATGAACTAGTGTGGTGTGGAGTGACTGAACCATGAACCTGTGTTGTGGGGAGAGTAAGCCATGAACCAGTAGGGTGTGGAGTGACTGAACCGTGACCCAGTGTGGTGTGGAGTGACTGAACCATGGACCAGTGCATTGTGGAGTGACTGAACGATGAACCAGTGTGGTGTGTGAACCATGAACCACTGTGGTGTGTGCATGAACCAGTGTGGTGTGTAAACCAGGAACCAGTGTGGTGGGGAGTGACTGAACCATGAACCAGTGTGGTGGGGAGTGAGCCATGAACCAGTGTGGTGGGGAGTGACTGAACCATGAACCAATGTGGTGGGGAGAGTGAGCCATGAACCAGTGTGGTGGGGAGTGACTGAAACATGAACCAGTGTGTTGTGGAGTGACTGAACCATGAACCAGTGTGGTGGGGAGAGTGAGCCATGAACCAGTGTGGTGGGGAGTGACTGAAACATGAACCAGTGTTGTGGATGACTGAACCATGAACCAGTGTGGTGGGGAGAGTGAGCCATGAACCAGTGTGGTGGGGAGTGACTGAAACATGAACCAGTGTAGTGCGGATTGACTGAACCATGAACCAGTGTGTTGTGGAGTGACTGAACCATGAACCAGTGTTGTGGGGAGAGTAAGTCATGAACCAGTGGGGTGTGGAGTGACTGAACCATGGACCAGTGCATTGTGGAGTGACTGAACGATGAACCAGTGTGGTGGGGAGAGGGAGCCATGAACCAGTGTCGTGTGGAGTGACTGAACCATGAACCAGTGTGGTGTGGAGTGACTGAAATATGAACCAGTGTGGTGGCAAGAGAGCCATGAACCAGTGTGGTGTGGGGTGACTGAACCATGAACAAGTGTAGTGTGGGGTGACTGAACCATGAACAAGTGTAGTGTGGAGTGACTGAACCATGAACCAGTGTGGTGTGGAGTGACTGAACCATGAACCAGCGTGGTAGGGAGAGTGAACCATGAACCAATGTGGTGTGGAGAGTGAACCAATATGGTGTGGAGAGTGAACCATGAACCATTGTGGTGTAGAGTGAACCATGAACCATTGTGGTGTAGAGTGAACCATGAACCATTGTGGTGTAGAGAGTGAACCATGAACCATTGTGGTGTAGAGAGTGAACCATGAACCATTGTGGTGTGGAGAGTGAACCATGAACCACTGTGGTGTGAAGAGTGAACCATGAACCATTGTGGTGTGGAGAGTGAACCATGAGCCATTGTGGTATGGAGAGTGAACCATGAACCAGTGTGGTGGTGGAGACTGAACCATGAATTAGTGTGGTGGTGTGGAGATTGAACCATGAACCATTGTGGTGTGGAGAGTGAACCATGAACCTTTGTGGTGTGGAGACTGAACCATGAACCATTGTAGTGTGGAGAGTGAACCACGAACCAGTGTGGTGTGGAGTGAACCATGAACCAGTGTGAGGTGAAGAGTGAACCATGAACCAGTGTGGTTTGGAGAGTGAAACATGAACCATTGTAGTGTGGAGAGTGAACCGTGAACCAATTTGGTGTGGAGACTGAACCATGAACCATTATAGTTTGGAGAGTGAACCATGAACCAATTTGGTGTGGAGAGTGAACCATGAACCATATATATTGTTTCTGTTATCTGAATTTAAATGGAAAAGCCACCGGATTGTGATGTCGTGCTAATGTCCAAGTTACTGTGTGTGTGTGTGTGTGTGTGTGTGTGTGTGTGTGTGTGTGTGTGTGTGTGTGTGTGTGTGTGTGTGTGTGTCTCGGTGTTAATTACCTTGCGTTACGTGGGGGAGAGAGTGAGTCAGGTTAAATACAGGTATCACATTGTACTCGCCTAGTTGTACTCACCTAGTTGAGGTTGCAGGGGTCGGGTCCAAGCTCCTGGTCGCTACTAGGTCACTCTCCCTCTGCAACTAATCACGATTAGCATTTTTATAATCTTCGTCAGAGAAAATGATAAGTACTAACATAATTTTCCTTGCGTAGTTATTATCTGGTCCTTAGTTAAATGTTAGTAATTTAATATAAATCAGTCAATGCGTGTAGCAATCCTGGCCGCTGTTACAACGCTCTGTTAATATATGTATTCCTTCATAATTAAGTAGTGGCTGGAGCTCCCGCTTCACACACGGAGGGCCCGGGTTCGATTCCCGGCGGGTGGAAACATTTCGACACGTTTCCTTACACCTGTTGTCTTGTTCACCTAATAGCAAATAGGTACCTGGGTGTTAGTCGTCTGGTGTGGGTCGCATCCTGGGGGACAAGATTAAGGACCCCAGTGGAAATAAGTTAGACAGTCCTCGATGACGCACTGACTTTCTTGGGTTATCCTGGGTGGCTAACCCTCCGGGGCTAAAAATCCGAACGAAATCTTATCTTACCAAAGTCAGTGACTTCATGAACATTTTCGTGTACACTCTTCGCCCTGACATAATCGCCATTGTTGACATTTTTGGACGACATAATTGCCGGCTATACGTCATGGATGCTAGGAGACAGACAGTCAAGAAGAAGACGTTGCCATATGGTTTTCTAGAAGTATAGATATCTAGCTCATTCATGTTATCATTCCTAGCCACCTAAAAATGATGTTCAAGCTGTACATAAACTCTAGTACCACTGTACTAGGAGGTACAGATTTCTGATGGGAAATGTGGACTCCCTTCTGCTTCAACGTAAAGATCAACATTATGTAATCGTTGGTGACCTCAACCAACAGCTTATATTGAGGTAAAATTCACAGAACAGGTGGGACTTGAACTCATGGCCGGTGAATCCTAAAACTCGCAGGTCATGGTTCAAGCCTCCATTTGTTCTGTGATTTATTTGCAATCGCGTTATTACGATTTCGTGAATCATGATCGAGTTATACAGAGGGATTCTGAGGAACTTGCTGTGTTGTACATCCGAAAACTGCTGACTTCCCTACTCGCATCTCTGGCTCCTCCCTTGACCCAGTAGCGAGTGATCCATCTGAAGGCTCAGTCACTTGCCAACCTCTTGTCTCTGGTAGATCATCTGACCACAAAACTGTCTTTACTGAACATTCCAACAGAACGAAGTGAAAATTTTTGCTGGCACAACCTGGCTGTGGTAAAGAGGAAACTGGCCGGCCCTTTGTCTTGAGCTCGACACCTCCGATTAAAATGCTCTTCTCTGCGGTGGCGTTGATAACTAAGTGAATATCTTCACTCTAACATACCCTTCCTAACAAATACATCCTTCAGCCCCACCAGGCCTTCAGATCAGTCTTGGTCCTGCTTTGTTGAGAGGCTGCTACACTTAGTACTAAGTACTCATTGTACGCAGTTACACGTTTGATCAAGTGTTGGTGGCTGTAGTGGAAGTTAAGGGTAGTAGTAGTAGTAGTGATGGTGCTTGTGGTAGATGGATTATTACTAGTAATGGTAGTTCAGGTACATCCCAGTGATTAATACCGTAGTAGTTGTATAGTGGCAGCAGTTGAAGTTGCAGTAGTAGTAATGGTAGTAGTAGTATAGTAGTAGTAGTTATTAGTGTAGTAATGGTGGTAGTAGTATAGTAGTAGTTATTAGTGTAGTAATGGTAGTAGTAGTTATTAGTGTAGTAATGGTAGTAGTAGTATAGTAGTAGTAATTAGTGTAGTAATGGTAGTAGTAGTATAGTAGTAGTTATTAGTGTAGTAATGGTAGTATTGTTGCTTTAATAATAATAAAGTATAAATTTATCCACTGGGAATTTAAACATTATAAATATTTATTTATCTTTCAGATTTTCAGAAGCTGGAGAGGGAGGCTAGAATCTGCAGAAAGTTGCAACACCCAAACATAGGTAAGTGTCGTTTTGTGCAGGTGTTGTCTTATGCAGGTGTTGCGGCCCCACCTCTCGCTCCACCCCTCTTATTACACACTTGTTACATCTACCTCAATTATACCTACACCTGCCATATGCAACATCCACATCAGTTGTATCCACACCTGTTACATCCACGTCTGTTAGATACATAACACTGTTGCATCCACATGTCTTTACATACACTGTAGTGATGAATTCGGAACTTAATGTAGAAAATACAGCTGTTGATAAGCAGGTGTGTACCACTGTACATCCAGCAGTACCTTTACTACAACCACTGTACATCCAGCAGTACCTTTACTACAACCACTGTACATCCAGCAGTACCTTTACTACAACCACTGTACATCCAGCAGTACCTTTACTACAACCACTGTACATCCAGCAGTACTTTTACTGCAACCACTGTACATCCAGCAGTACCTTTACTACAACCACTGTACATCCAGCAGTACCTTTGCTACAACCACTGTACATCCAGCAGTACCTTTACAACCACTGTACATCCAGCAGTACCTTTGCTACAACCACTCTTCACGTAATCATTATTAACACCCATACATCTGTTCTAACATTATCTATTAATAATACCTACACTGTATTTACGGTACTTGTGTTAGTACATAATTACTCAGTATACACACTCACCATGTTTTATTACAGTTTACTTAGTTATTTGTATATACCAACATATATATTTTAGTTGATCATGCATACAATACATAGACATGTATGTTGGTGCATCAAAGCATAATGAAGACAATGGAAGGTTGTAACCCACCTGAAGACAATAACAGGAAAGTTTGTATATTTCGACCTCCAACTGAGCTCCTCATCAGAGAACACAAGAGTGACACAGTGGATTGTTGGTCACATGTTGATCTGTGGTGGTGTTCCATCAGTGTGTGGACAACCATCATCTTGGGGGCTTGGCTTGGGCCATACACACTTTAAATTACATCTCTGGGTATTAAATGTGTTGTCTGGGTATTAGTTCTGTGGGTCTTAAAGATTACTGAGTTTGAGAGAAAGCGTATGTACTTTCGGAAATTCCTTCTCGAGAAGCTAAGGCAGTCAGGCCCCACCACCAAACTGGAGAGAGAGAGAGATAGAGAGATGATACCTTCCTATGATGCAGCAAAAACATGTGCGGGATTTAAAACTTCATTCTCATGCTTTACCTTAATATCGTTCCAGACCATAGACTTTAACTCTTTTCTAGGCTGAGGGACTGACCATCTCAAATACTCAAGGTTAGTGAACCTCTAAGGTTAATGGACTGATTACATCTTCATTTCACAACTACACCTGCTGCCTCTGTTTGACTAAAGAAGCCTACTGTTTAGGAGAAACGTATCAACAATAAGGATATCTATCTGTTGTACATAAGAACATAATGGAGGAACACTGCAGAAGGCCTACTGGCCCATACAAGGCAGGTCTTTATCAAAACGACCTCTACCCATAGCTACCCAAGAATTTACTCCCGTACTCAATGATATCAGTCAAACCCAGCCCCTTCCACTCATATATTTGTCCAATCTCTTTTTAAAGCTACCCAAGGTCCTAGCCTCGATCACCCTACTGGGAAGATTGTTCCACACACCCACAACTGTTAGAAAACCAGTACTTACCTATGTCCTTTCTAAATCTATATTTATCCAATTTAAATCCATTATTTCTGGTTCTTACCTGGTTCGACACCCTCAGTACTTTATTAATATCTCCTTTGTTTATGCCCATCATCGTCTTATACACTTCAGCGATATCTCCCCTCATTCTACGTCTCTCCAGAGAGTGGAGATTTAAGGCTTTAAGTCTATCTTCATACGGGAGATTCCTTACACAGTAAATCATTTTAGTCATTCTTCTCTGTATGTTCTCATCTGCCATTTTTCAGACCAAGACATTAATTTGTCCAAATCCTCCTGGAGTTCATTGCTATGCTCCTCAGAATGAATTATACGGCCTATCTTTGTATCATCTTACTCATGTCACTCGTAATCCCTTCATCAAGGTCATTAATGTAAATTATGAACAAGAGAGGGCCTAAAACTGATCCTTGTGGAATGCCACTGGTGACTAATCCCCATTCAGACTTGACCCCATTAATGGAAACTCTCTGCTTTCTATTGGTAAGCCATGGCTCTATCCATGCTATAACTTTACCTCCTATACCATGAGTTGCCACTTTTATTAAGTCTCTTGTGAGGTACTCTATCGAAGGCTTTACTGAAATCCAAATATACAATATCATATTCTTTATCACTGTCAACTGCCTCAGAAGTTCTGTTGAAGAACGTCAGTAAATTTGTCAGGCAGGAACGACCTCTCGTGAACCCCATGCTGAGAGCCATTAATCAAATTATGCTCTTCAAGGTGACTTCTAACAATGTCATCTATAAATGATTCTAATAACTTGCCCACTATAGATGTCAGGCTTATTGGACGGTAATTTGAAGGAGTGGACTTATCCCCTGATTTGAATATAGGAACCACATTAGCCGTCTTCCACAACTATGGCATAACACCAGGAAGGATGGATGCATTAAACACACTCGTTAATGGCTGACTAAGTTCCATCTTGCATTCCTTAAGTACCCTGGAAAACAACTCGTCGGGCCCCGGGGACGTATTTTGCTTCAGTTTGTCTATCTGTTTGATAACCATGTCCCTCGTGACAGTAATGTTAGTTAATTTGAATTCATCAGGAACTGAATAATTGTTAATTTCTGGAATCTCATTTATGTCTTCCTGTGTAAAAACTGACAGAAAATAGTCATTAAATAAGGAAAACATTTCCAGCTCGTTATCTGTCAGCTGTCCATTCCCAATTTTCAGAGGTCCTACTTTTTCCTTCGCCTTCGTCCTATACACTTGAAAGAACCTCTTTGGAATGATCTTTGATTCATTAGCAACTCTAATTTCATAGTCACGTTTAGCCTTTCTAATCCCCTTTTTTACTTCTCTTTTAAGCTGAACATATTGGTCAGTAAGGTTAACCTCTCCCCTTCTGATGCGCCTATAAATTCCCCTTTTCTCCCCTAATAGATGCTTTAGCCTCTGTTAACCCATTTGGGATCATTATTATTAGACCTAATTTCTCTCTGGGGAATGTATATACTCTGAGCACGGTGTACATTATTAAGAAAAAAATCATAAACGCAGATCCCTTCGTAATCATAAGTATGATCATCGTCAATAAAATCATTAGCTAGATAACCCCCAGTCGAGATTAGACAGGTGTTCCCTAAGTCCATTGTAATCGGCAGAACGAAAATCGGGGATTTTTACCGTATTATCATTAAACTTGTATTCCCAGTGATCACTTGCGCCAAGCTCTTCAGTGATCTCCAGATTATTTACGAGTGTTTCCTTATTTGACAAGACTAGGTCTAGCAAATTATTACCCCTGGTAGGCTCTGTTACGCACTGCTTCAGAAAACAGTCCTGAACTGTTTCCATAAAGTCACTGGTCTCCAGATTACCGGTCAAAGAATTCCAGTCAATTTGACTAAAGTTAAAATCCCCTACTATCACTGTTAGTGTGTCTAGAAGCCCTAACAATTTCGTCGCAAAGAAGTCTCCCTCTATCGTGATCCAAGCCTGGAGGTCGGTATATTACATTTAGAATTAGCTTTTCTTGACCTACAAACTCTACCCAAACAGATTCTGTTGCTGTTCCATCTATTTTTATTCCTGTTTTTATGCAACAGTTAATATTTTCTCGTACATATAATGCAACTCCTCCCCCCTTCCCATTACATCTATCCACATTGAACGACTTAAACCCTTGAATATTACACTCAGCAATCATATCCCGACTCTTTTAAGTCATACCACGTTTCAGTTAATGCAATGCTATCAAAGTTCCCAGCACATGCTACCAAACGTAGTTCATTAATCTTATTTCTTGCACTTCGACTGTCAGCATAAAATACCATTATATGTTTCTTCTTCTGCACATTTTTCCTATTAAGGTTCTTAATATCAAAGCCTAAGTCAATATATCCATACTCATGATTTATCATTTCTAAACCCATACCTCTAACTAATCCTAGTTTAAAGTCCTAACAACCCCCTCAACTGAGTTAGCAAGAAAACCCACACCTGCCCTGGATAAGTGAACCCCATCCCTGGCATACATGTCATTTCGGCCATAGAAGTTGTCCCAGTTGTCAATGAATGGTACTGCATTATCCTTACAGTGTTTATCCAGCCAACAATTAATACCAATTTCTCTGGACAACCATTCATTACCAACACCTCTTCTTGGCAAAATGCCACATATAACAGTGTGCCCCCCCTTCTTCCTAATTATGTCTATTGCTGTCCTGTACCTTCTAACTAAATCCTCACTTCTACGCTTGCCTACGTCATTTCCTCCAGCACTGAGGCAGATAATAGGATTGATCCCATTGCCGTTTATGATGTCAAACCGGCTAACAATATCCTCCATCCCAGCCCCAGGAAAGCAAACCCTCTGTCTCCTACTCCTGTCCCTCAAGCAGAAGGCCCTATCTATATACCTAACTTGGCTCTCCCCAACAACAACTATTTTTGGAAATATAAACACATATGCAGTATAATGTGATCCTTTATTGAGAACGTTTCACCCACACAGTGTGGGTGAAACGTTGTCAATAAAGGATCACATTATACTGCATATGTGTTTATATTTCCATTGTGTCGGTATTTTATACCATTTATTTCCAACAACTATTTTTACCTTCCTTGGTGGTGTTCGTCGTGACGTTCCCAGTAGTCGACTCCCATTCGTTGGGTAGCAACAGAGAATGCATTAGATGTTTCCACAGCAGTCTCTTTCTTCTTCATCGTTTCTACCTTTCCATTCGTCTTCTTGATCATCAACTTCGTTCCATGCTGTCCAGCCACTGTCCAGGTTCCCTTCTTGACCTGAGGACTCGCAACAGGACTACTACACATCCTCTTGTTTTCCTCAATCACCGTATGTC